CAAAAGACTGAAAAGCAAAGTTGAAAACATGCAACTCACCTGAAAACTGAGATCATGATATTCATCATCTCCTCGTAGGTCTCATGCCACATTGTTGCACAGAGATAAACCATGGCAGGGCTGGTGTCTTGTCTAAAACTTGATATAACATTTGCATGTTTGAAACTATCTTCTGTCCAAGTACCTTTAATTTCACAAGGACTTTGTACCATTTGCAAAAATCTAAAACTAATGCTAAGTAGGCAATTCAAAGAAATAAAAGCAAACAAAAAACTCAAAACTCACCGTTTCCTTCTGTTTTTACTCTGTATGTGGAAGCGTGTGTTGAGTAGTAAGGATTGCTCAATAAGAGCTCCCTCATAGAGCCTCCTCACAAACAGGTCTTGAGTCTTCTGGATACGGCAGGTGTTCAGGTACCAAATATGGATAGTGGCCAACACAAGACCAATCCACCATGATACTCCTGCACCTGATTGGAGCATGAGACAACTATTAACCTCTAGAAAAGCTGAGAAACCAGACCAAGTGTATAATAGTGCCAAATACCAAGACTGAATTTCATACAGCACAAAACATACACGCAAAGGTGTGTAAAGGAATTTGATTCTGGAAACTGCATATTCTGCCTCAATGCAGATATTATGTATCTTGGATCAGTTTACTGATGTAACTAAATCAAATAAATAAAAAATTAATTAAACAATTTACTTGCAGTAAATAGGCAAAAAAACTCTTACCTGTCAATAGGCCAAAATGATGTGTCATGGACATGTTCGCGCTGCAGAGAGTTTGTGTGACATCCAGAATAAGATGTGGGAACAGGCTCCCATTCAGACTTTGATTTCTTACATTCACAACTTCAGTGCAGTAATTTATGAAGGTGATGTTTGAGTTGTAGTTTTTGTAATAAATAATGACAGGAGCAATAAACAATGGTATCACAGCCAGTGAAGCCAGGTACAAAGGAACGATGAAGCATCGGCGTACAGCATGCATCTTACAGGCTGCCAATGCAAACCAATGGCAAAGTGCAGAGGAGATCAGCTGGACCCCAATGATGATGGCTATTATTCTTGTTTCCCTGCTTGAATGGAGGTCACAATGTCCCAGTCCATCTGGGCCAGAGGGACATAGGCACCAAGCACACAGGCAGTGACCACGATCCTCAGTAAGCTGGACATGATGTGCAGCATGTTCTGACTCTTGTTCAGGTCTTCAAACAGGTTTTTCAGGATGTTGGATTTGCTTTTCACACAGACCACCCTGAAGTAATTCTCCCACCAGTTGAAAGATACCAATATTGACCCACCAACAGCAAGACCCACCCAGATGGCTGTCTTCACATCTGCAGGGTCTTTCAAAATGTACAGGACCAGGAAAAGGCAGTAACCAAAAACAATAAGCAGGAACCCAATGATGGAAGGCAGCAGGAAGATGTTCATCCTTTTGACAGGGCACTGAGCGACTGCTTGAAGGAATCCAGAGAGGACAGCTACACTGTTCAGGATGGCCACATTGGTTACAATGTCCAAGTGTGGCATTGCTACAATGGTAAGCACTGCTAACCCCACAGAAACAAGAAACTCGAAGAACAAAACCTGTAGAGAAAAGGATGGACAGGTGAATTCAACTAAATAACAAAAACAAAACATTAAATTTTTTTTGGCATCAGTTGGCAACCCAATCCAGTTTTATTACCAGGGCTGCAGATGCTTTTCTTGGCAACTTTGATGATTTGTAACATGCTTTCCAGAAGCTTTTGAGCAACAGAAGGACATGAGGTGCAATGACAGAGCAGCCAATGCACAGCAGAGTGAGAGGTTTCTGCTTTGCTTGGATTGTCTTCGTATCTTCATGAGACAAGGTGACGAGAAGAAGGAAAGAAGCCTGAAAAATTAACCAAATCATGTAGAACCAGTGGTACCACAAATGTTGAAACCAAGCTAAACATAAAACAAACGTAGTGTAAAATTTTACTAAATATTTTTATTTCACTTGTATTTTTTGGTTGAAATGGAATCAATGAATGTGTTATATTCTATAGAAATGGCTTCATACATATTATAGGCATTTACTCTGTCTTTTCTACTTTCAGGTTTTTAAAAGTATTTGTTTCTTCTTTTTAACATAAAAAGTTATAAAGAAATAGTTTACCTTACTGCATATTGCCAGTCCAAATATAATGATAGCTACTGCAAACAAAGAGATGATATTTAAAAGCTTAAGCAGCTTCCATGGTGTGTGTTCGTCTTCAATGGTCGGGACCTCCCGACATGTGTCCCACGGTCTTCTAAATTACAGCACAAAAAGCCACAGTTTGGGGAAGGAGGATGGTTACAAGAAGGAATTATTGAGGATCAAACTTTATGGATTAACATTTCTACTCTGGCAAGCTTAGATAAATCTTTAACCTGAAATATAATTTATCATTAACATCGAGGTTATGGAGATCAATTTTCTTCCTTTTTCACTTTGGAATTTAATTAATACTTATTGAGGACTCTTGATGTTTTATCTTACTAAAAATCAAATCATATATTGATACTGCATTACTTACTTGAGCTCTCGTCTCGTGATGTCCTCCTCCATCGTAGGTCGAGTTATGTTCCCTGACTTTCTCTCTCATCCTTATAATCTTTTCCCCTGCATGATTTCCGTCCTGCTTCCTTCCTCCTCCCCATGGCTGCAGACACGTAGCAGGCAGGTTGCCAACTTAGGTCAAAGAAATTACAGAAAGCAAACAATATTGTCATCAGATATTGTAAACCAGAAAAAAAAACTACACTGAGTAATGAAACTTAAAGAAAATATACTCTTCAGGAATAATCTAAATATAGAGTTAAGGACAAATTTACATACGCATGACATTATGTCCCTCATACTTGAATTTTATTGTGATTTTAGGCTTTCAATATTTGTTTGAGTGGTGGTCATACCTTGGAAACAAACTTGTTTCAATCTTGATTTCTTTCATTTAAAGTTATTTGAGTCATCTTTATGTAGATGAAAATAATTCTCCTTCTTTGCTTCCTTTTGGCTTTTAATATTTAGTCAGAAGTTTCAGAAAAAATACAGCAGGCAACTAACAGAAGGCAGATGAAAAAATAACTCATCTATTAATGACGATAAACAATAACAGGTGTAAACAATTTACAGACCATGAGTGTTTCAGTTTTACTTCTTTCTTATTGTGTAAGAAAAAGCCTTTTAAATTTAGAATCAATACATAGACTCAATGACTTTAAATATTGTTTCAATATTTGTCTTATAGTCTGTTACTAAGAACTGAAATGAAATCAAAGAAAAGGATTTGTCTTGTTAAGGTTTAGCTTGAATACATACTGCAGTACTGAATAATTACATTGTATTTTTATTGTTGTGTTCTATAAAGTAGTTTTTTTCATTTTTCATGTCATTATGCAAACCACCTAGTTAGTTTGAGGTCAATACTTCACAGTACGAGCATAGTTATTGTTTGACAATATTATCTAATTCTCCATTCATAAGGGAGAAAAATGTTTGCCGTGCCAAAGAAAATGTTTCCTTCTTCCTCCTTTCCACAAGCTCTCACTAATCTCTCATGTAAAAACCTTTTTAGCATTACCTGCTTCTGAAAATGTAAGATTGGGGCAGATATACAGTTAAAATCTGAAATGTACTTTACGCCCTCTTGAATGCTGAATTGTTTGTGCTTCTCTTTTTCCAGGGTAAAATCACAATACGTTCAGTTATTTTAAAAAATCTGAATATTGTCCACAGAATGCATTAACATTATATATAAGCTGCGTGCTGTGTTTAACTGGTTATTTCTCTTTTGTAGAAATTCCTCTCAGCTCTGATGCTTGCACCATTGCCAAGTCTGTTTTTCCCTCTTAACTTATGCTGCCCCATGGGACAATTTGACTGCTCATTTAGTTGCCTGTCTCTGACATTCCCATGATTTGAAACCTGGTCTTTATGTTGGGGATGGTACATAAAATACCCAAAGCTCAGGGAAATATTGCTTGGTTGGCTCAGACAGCAACTGACCACATGTAACAGGGTCCATGTTCAGTTTCTCCTATTTACTCTATATATACTGTAAGCATACTGGATGCCAGGAGTTTAAGAGTTAACAGAAGATAAAGCTGTTAGCCTTGAAGAGAAGATTTAACAAGGTTTTCATGGATATGACAGACAAACTCCACTTTCCTTACTAATATTGGCTTGTTTATAGTCACATAAACAAACTTGCTATGTCATAAAATCATTGGCATGAACCAATATTAAAACAAAGAAATTTAACGCAATACATGTTTTTCTTGCTGTTTAACTCTTTAGTGCTACTTTAAAACAATCTGTTCTGTTCTCAGGCTCGCTAAAAATAGAAGAAGCTAAATCGTGGAACACAAACTTTCAGTTTTTTTTCTAAGGTTAATTATTTGAAATCATAAATTCACATTTTTTCGATTAATCAGTGACAAAACAAATGCAGTACACTGTATATGGACAAGGGAAAGTATTGCTGTCATCTCAGTGACTTTGTCGCTTTATTGTGCAATCTTTCAGACCCATTGTGACTTTTTCTTTTTTTTTTTGCTAAAAGCCACAGGAGACATGTAGCTACTTTTGTCATGGTAAATAGTCTGCAGACTAAACACTCTGCATTAGTTGTCCCTGTTGAGAAACTGAGAAGTGATAATCAATGCTTGCAATTCCTACTCCCAGCTATCTATGAAGGCATTTGTCCAAATGAAATAGTTTTGTAGCCAAACGTAGCGCAAAGATGTAGACATTGACTCGGTAATACTGGTGTAACCAATAGAAAAATTCAACACCAACTTCTTCTTTATTTTTCTATCTTCATTATATGTCTTTATTTCTTTGTTTTCTTGTTAAATAAATAATATGAAATAACACAAGTATTTTATAATATATTAAACTTGCACATTTAAACATCTTTAAAAAAAAAACAAAGAAGAAAGAGAGAAAAGATACTGATGAATGTATATTGTAAACAATGTGTATGCTAGCCGGATCACACAAAACAATTTGAAAACAATAAAGACAATTTAACATTCGTATTTTTAGTAAACAGTCTTTGAGTTAACGCCTATATGTATTCAAGTAGTGAGTCAACCAGATTTTACAGGTTATTCCAAAGTAAGAACCTCCTTGAATAGCTTACTGCATTAGTAACACTGTAGTAATATTGTACTTTCAAGATTAATTCATCCCTCAGTTTTTTCCTTCAATATAATGCAATAAAATAAAATAAAATTATTGAGTTCAGAAAAAATTCTGACAAACAGAATAAATCAAATATTAATCACAACATTCATGAAGCTTTCACTAATGAATTGACTAGCTTAGACAGTTTTGATTCAAAGTAAATATTAATCACTGATTCCAAGACTCAATCTACACATTACATAACACATAAAAGTTTTATACAAAAAAGGAACAACATAAAAAACTGTTACATGATCTTTTTTACAAAAACGATAAATAATAAGTCACAACATTTAAATAAAATCCTTCATCTGGAGGTTGCCTTCATGGCATGTGTCCTACTTTACAGTGCCATTAAAAAGATTAATGACACAGCAGATTAATGACAAAGTGCTGAAAGTGTTTAGGTGCAGAAACAGTCTTGTTAAAAACCTAAGTCTCCTGAGTTCCATCCCCAATGTCCCCTAGATAGATGTTTTCATTGTCCGACTCATCACTTAAATCAAACTCAGATTCATCCTGTGAGATGTTGCTCATGTCAGTCACAGACTGGAAGAGTGAGCTATCGTCTGCATCGGACCTGGAGTCACTCTGGAAAAGATCAAAGAAACATTATTGGATAAAAATGCAGCACACCTTGCAGGCAATCACTCCTCCTGAAGTATTGGAAATGATTGAACAGGTAGTACTTAACATAATACATATAAAAATTTAAGTCTTCAATGAAATTCACTGTAAAAGTGAATTCTATTTTTTTTTCTCGACCAATAATTTAAAATGGTAGCAATTCACTATTGTTGACAACACAATCTTCAAATTATTATTTTTATTTATGTGTGTTGACATATCTGAATGTTTTTCAGTGAAATGAAAATAATTTGTATTGTCTTAGTTATTTGCATAAACCAATAAAAAGATGCATCACATCCCATTATAGTCCTAACATGAACACATGTAGAGTCCCATTTACTACTCAACAGCACCACCATGGGGCAGAGTTGGGCATCATTACTGCCTTTGTTCCACATAAATATCTATGTAGTTTGTTTTTTTGGACTCTTGTTTCCCAATCTGTGAATATTTCTCACACAGGGTCTGAATCAACTGTTTTATGAAAGGTCAGTAGGGTCTAAGCCAGGTGACACGTTGTTTTATCACCATCTATCTTTCTTTATTTTTGTTTTTGGTGGGGCAGAGTAGGATGGGGGGGACTGAACCATCTATCATTTGATATTGAGTTTCTTGGAGCTTCACTTGTGTCAAACATTCCACAGCCTGAGTCTTATCCACACTTGCTATTTACATCTATTGTATTGGATGTAAAATATATAGTTCCAAGATGATTTTTTTTTAATCATATTTTGTGTATGACAGGCTATGTAATTTAGTTTTAGGCTATTATACACAGTCTATGTGTTGTTTGTGCTCAAATCTATAGTTTCTTCCTATTTTAATCCACAAGAACAGGGAATAACTTTAGTTTGAATAATAAACAAAAATATTTACCTCTGTTTTCGCAGACTTCTGTTGTTTTGGCTCCGTTTCCAAAAATGCCACATAATGAATGAGGGTCATAATTCTAAAAGTGAAGAAGAAAAAGTTTTTTTACTATGCAGGTCTTTTTGTTTGACTCTCGCTACAGAAATATAGTTGAGAAAAAAAAATGTAATCAGTGATTACCTGTGGTACAACATCCCAATGAACTGGAGCAAAACTGAAATGGCAAAGCCCAGGATGAACATGAGGCTCATCGGCTCAACTTGGAACTTTTTACCAGTTTTCTTGAGGTTCAAGTCAACAATGTCAAACTCGAGTTGAAAGACATCGAAGAGTTGAAATACAAAGGCTGCCACCAACCACAGGGCATTCAAGAAGAAGAATGAAAAATTAATCTGTGTTAGGAAAGAAGTACAAAGGTTAGCTTAAAAAATATCACATTTTCCAGCAAATGTCAAATGTATAACATTGCAGCTCTGCCATTTTACCTTGTTTCTGAGATCTTGAAGCTCATTTTTAGTCTTTTCTTGTTTTTCTTTGTCATTTTGCAGAGGTTCCAGGTACTTTTCAATAAGTTCCTTCCAAAACTGGTCCTCATCCTGCAACAACAAATGAAGTATGGCATTGCTGATATTTAGCTAACAGCCTGGTGTCATTCAGTGAAAACAAGCTCATAAGTATTGCATACAGTTTACTGGTGAATTAACCAGTCAAATTCTGATATAGAATCACCAGATTAAACAATCCTTTAAAACCAGATAAATCACCTTCAACTGGGGGATGTGAATAATGAGTGGTGAACAATTATGCTATTTATCATTCCGAGAATAAAACAAATAATTAAATAAATGGCAGTAAGTGTTTATAAGAGTGAAGGCTCTATTAAGCTAAAGGACATGCACCTCATCGAGAGAATCCACCTGCAGCTGAATGTCGCTGGACAAACTCTCCACTTGTGCTTTCCAACCTAAGTAACAGGGTAGAGCAGAAAATTATTTGAAAACCTAATATCATAAAGTGTTAGGAAGAAAAACTATATCATTGTATTATAATGCACTACTGTGGTATTAAAGCTCTATAAAAGTAACTATTTTCTTTCACTTACATTGAGCTGGAGTGTAAAATCTGGTTTCCTCTTCCCTAAAAGGAAAATTAAAAAAGCAATAGTGTTAGCCATTGCTTTACCACTTTGCAGTTCACTTGTTTTTCATATCTTTAAAACTTACTGTTGTTCGTTTTGGGGGGAATCATCCACAATACTGTTCTGGGGTTGAGGTTCAACCTGTATCGGCTCTGGGATCTCCTGGCTCATGGTGAGCTGTTCCTCTTGTAGTCGCTCGTGGGATTTTTTACAACATTTCATCTGTGAGCAGAGTCGTTTGAAGGTGCTTTTTACTGTAAAGATAAGACTAGGTTTCAGTTTATTTTGCAGAAAGATCAACTCTAGTCATTCAGAGTGGTACAGATCTACCTTTTTGTGATTTAGTTTGCTGGATGGTGGCTGCAGTAGATGCAGCCTCTGCAGCAGGTTTTGTTTCTCTGGTTCCCCATGAGACACTGTTCATGTTGACCATGGAGTAGATGGTGAGCAGGAGGTAGGCACTCGGGATGCAGATGATGTAGAGTAGGCCATAGAACAACAAAGGAAGTTCTTGAGGATGCAACAGTGCAGTGACAATGTAAATGATGGACATGGCCACAATGAAAATGCTGCTGGGTGTCAGAATGGTCTTTTCCTTCACCATTGAGGCTGATAGAAAATAAAAAATACCAATGTTTAGAGGTAAAACAAAAAAATCTTTACACATTTGTTAGACCTTAATAAGCACTTACCAATAATGGACATTGTCACTACCAACATCAGGAATGCATACATGATACTCAACACTGCTGCAATAGTGATCTGAGTGTCTGCCTTGAGCTTAAAGCAAAGACCCAAGTAAATGGCAGGAGGTATCACAGCTAAGACCAGAGCAGCAGCAGAAGATATGTTCAAAATGAAGGACAGACTCCCTGGGTACAGAAAACAATATATTTTAAAGATATTTCCACAAGCTGCTTAAATGTGAATGTAGAACAAGTGTTGAACACTCATAACACATAACTGGTAATGGATTGGACTTGAATAGTGCATCACAAAATGTCCAGAAGGCACAGTGACAGTTACCTGCAACCATGAAACAGATGGTGGCCGGAGCAAGAATGGCTGAAATCATGGCAAACAGCTGATAGAGCATGAATGGTTTGGACATTGATGGATTCTTCTTGGACACCAGGTTGGTGGAACCGAGCAGGTCTACAACGTTTGCCATCGTGGAAGGGCCCCATCGTTTCCGCTAAGTTGAAAAGCAGTAGTTATTATTAAGTTCTGACCTCTTTTTGTCCTGAAACATTTTGCTCACTTGTATTCCATGAATTTATCCAATAACTAAAAATTAAAAATGACTCAGAGGTAAAATAAGCAAGGCTGATAATTACTGGAGCATCAACCAAGCAACGTCACAAACCCATAGTCTGGTAGAACATATCGAGTAGAACAACAACAAAATTCTTTTAGAGATCTCAATGAGTATGACTGTGAGTTTGAGGTCTTGCAAAATAAAGCACTGGATATTATCTGTGGTGGACAAATTATCTTGATCCACAGAAAGGAAAGGACATTTCTTATTTCTTGTGGTGTGGGTAATCATTATGAATATATTTTGAATTATAGTTCTATAATTCCTATACTCCTTATGTACTTACCTGGTTGTACAGTTCTTTAAATTCCTGTGGTGCGTTGGTGTAGGCATCAGATGCTGCATTGTATTCAACTCTCCAGCCTTGTTTCAGTAGCAGAGTGCACAGCCAGCGGTCCTCACCTGCAACAACAAAATCTAAATTTAGATGTTGGAAAAATGAGAAAACTTGAAAGTCAAAGCAAAGATGGAGAAAGAATACTATCTTTATTGGATATTTAGATCTAATATTCCATTAGATTATAATATCCATTCAAAATATTTATTTAATCCATGAAAGGTCTTTTAGGGGAAGTTGTCTGAGAGAAACCAACTGTTCCACTTTGTAGTATAAAAATATACAATTATTTGCTTAAATTAGATTGTATTACAATTTAATAAAGAAAATTATGAAAAGTTTTAATAGAGTTCAGTTTTGTACCTTGGTCATATTGGATGTATTGACTGGGCTCAGTGGATTTGGTTGAATATTTCTTCATCACATTATCATCCATTAGCGCCTCTGCTCTGAACAGACTGAAACACCCTGGGCTGCACAGTACACAGCCAAAGACATGCTCAGCTGTCTTCTGCAGCCAGTGACTGACAGCGTACTCAAACTTCTGGAACCAAACAGCAGGACCTGCAGGAAAATTAGTCGACTGGTTTATAACCTTACCATGGCTCTTTGTCTCATGCAAAATAGCCCTGGTTTGCTCCAAACCTGATCCAGTGGGGTGAATTCTGCCACATGCTGCACCAACACGGGGATACATTTTCAGACGATCAATGAGCAGCAGCAGAGCAGCTGGTTGGAAGTCTGTGTCCCCATCCAAAGCCAAGAGGTAGGTGTTGTGTTTCTCTCTCTTAAACAAATGCACAGTTTTTTGGTTTTTGTACATTCAACTCTGTTGTCTTTGACCAAGCAGTGAAAATTTAATGAGCATTTTTGCACTTCACAAAATACCCAGATAGTTTCTTCTATCTCACCTTGATTTTTATCTTTAGATCAGTTTCATTTTCCCCCTTCTTCCAGTCTGTGTGATATTTAGTCATGAGTTTCCAACCCAAAAGATAGTAAAGATACATCACCTGCAGAAAATAAATAATTAACAAACTAAAGGTTGTTGATTAAAGTGTTGAGGTTATCCATTTGCTATTACTTACCTGAGACCATCTCTTTTTGTTCCGAATTTTCTGCTTGTCTTTGAAGTGAACTACTATGTTATTCCCATGAGGCATTTCAACAACAAGTCTAGCTCCATATGGCGTCTCTATGATTGACTGATGAGGAATTTCCTGCTGTATCTCAAAGAATGTTTTATCAAGGTTCTTGAAGATCCTGATAATAGAGAGAAAGAATACTGATAAATAATTTACCTTGGAACATTTTCATCTCTTGTAGTGTTTCAATTGTTGCTTTTAGGGAGTAAAGTTACTTGGCACAAACTTAAGGTATTTGAAGTGAATAAGTGAATATGATTAATAATGAGGTGGTTCTGAGTGGCGAGCCAGCCAGGAAAAGTCTAATTTTATATAGGAGGTGACACTGTCTAGTGATGAACAGATTTAATATCATCTAACCAGAAAGGCACCAATATAGATCTGAACAGCAAACTCTAAAACAAATCAAAACTTGGACAAATAACCACAAATCTATATTATCTGAACATGTCAAATCTAGACAAACCTGCTAGAAATTCACATGCAAGTAAATGATCTTAAAAACATGTTTTCTATTCATGGCATAGTCAGTTTCCTTCTCAAATAATGTAATTTTAATAGCTGAGGCTCAAGTTTATTTCTTGACTTATTAATTAAGACGGATTGTGATGAACGTCTTGGTTTTTCCGAACAAATTTCCTCCAAGAATTGTTGGCAGAAACAAGTTATTCTAACATGTTAGTAATTAAGTAATTTATGTCGAAAACATGACCATTATTGAAATTAACATCCATCTAGATTAGACATAAACTTCTAGATTCAGAAAGTCTAGATGGAAAGTCTGTGCATGGAAAAACTTTTTCAGTTTGCCAACATAAGCCTCATCAAGCCCCAGAAATTAAACAAAAAACAAGTATCAGCTCAGTTCTCATGGATATTGTCATATGAGGAAAATTTGACCTTTGGCCAAGCAAAACAAAAACCCAACAGTGTCACCGATGACAGCAACCTGATCATTATTTAAATGATCATGTTTCCAGTAGAGTTTCAGACAAACTCTGCTGGGAATCAGATTATAAAATCTGTAAATCTGGCTCTTACCCATGGACCTCTGTGATGATTTGCACAAGGTCCTTTGCATATGTGTTCAGATGACGATCCTGAGTTTCTTGAGCGTTTTCAAAGGCGTCATCGAAGAAGAGATGGGCTTCGAAGGTGAAATCATTAAACTTGGATCCTGCTTTTGGTCTGTATTTGTCCAGTCTTGAGTCAAACATGAAATGAGAATGAATTAATTAGGAAAAAAAAGTCAAATACAGATTGTAAGACAATACTAAAATTAGATGGAATTATAAATGATTTTCCTAAAAAATTTGTTTAATGTATGCAGAAAGTTTCTGCATAAAGGAAATGTTTTATTTATTATAAAACCTTCCATATAAAGTTCAGATATAATATTAGTTTATATAATAGAGACTCTTAAGGTGGGCATGAAACTCTGAAACTGAAACTTCCTTTAACTCACCTGAACATTGAGATCATGATATTCATCATCTCCTCATAGGTCTCATGCCACATTGTTGCGCAGAGATAAATCATAGCAGGAATGTCATCCTCTTTATTCCTTGATATGAAAATATTTGCAAATGTAAGTAATTGCTTTATGATAACAACTATACACTGAAAAAGATATTTCCGCCCAAAAGAAAGAAGATGAAAGAGTTGTACAACATAAGCACACACTAACTAACTTACTGCTTCTTCTTGCTTTTTCTAGTCCGGATGTTGAAACGGGTGTTGAGGAGTAACGACTGCTCAATAAAGGCTCCCTCATAGAGTCTCCGACCAAACAAGTCTTGTGTCTTCTGGATACGATTAATGTTAAAGTACCATATATGGATAGTAACCAGCACAAGACCGATCCACCATGATGCTGCTGCACCTGATAGGAAAAAAAGAAAAAAAATCACTCCTACTGAAGCTTAAATACTAAAACAGCCAAAACAAATAACCTGCAAAAAAGCAAGCTACCCAGATTACAACATAATTTGTTTGTTTTCTTCTTACCTGTCAGTAAGCCGATGTCGGCTGTGTTGGACATGTCCAGGAAGCAGAGCGTTTGGGTAACATCCAAAACCAAGTGTGGGAACAGGTTACCACTCAGACTTTGATTTCTTACATTCACAGCTTCAGCACAGTAACTTGTGAAGTTGATGTTTTCAGTTGTGTTCAAGTTTAACTGGTGGTCCTGATAATCCAGAATAACAGGGACAATGAACAGCACCATCACAGCCAGTGAAGCCAGGTACAAAGGAACGATGAAGCATCGGCGTACAGCATGCATCTTACAGGCTGCCAATGCAAACCAATGGCAAAGTGCAGAGGAGATCAGCTGGACCCCAATGATGATGGCTATTATTCTTGTTTCCCTGCTTGGAATGGAGGTCACAATGTCCCAGTCCATCTGGGCCAGAGGAACATAGGCACCAAGCACACAGGCAGTGACCACAATCCTCAGTAAGCTGGACATGATGTGCAGCATGTTCTGACTCTTGTTCAAGTCTTCAAACAGGTTTTTCAGGATGTTGGATTTGCTTTTCACACAGACCACCCTGAAGTAATTCTCCCACCAGTTGAAAGATACCAAGATTGACCCACCAACAGCAAGACCCACCCAGACGGCTGTCTTCACATCGGCGGGGTCTTTCATCATGTACAGGACCAGGAACAAACAGTAACCAACAACCATAACCACAAAGGCCACGATGGAAGGCAGCAGGAAGATGTTCATCCTTTTGACAGTGCACTGAGCGACTGCTTGAAGGAATCCAGAGAGGACAGCTACACTGTTCAGGATGGCCACATTGGTTACAATGTCCAAGTGTGGCATTGCTACAATGGTAAGCACTGCTAACCCCACAGAAACAAGAAACTCGAAGAACAAAACCTGAGGGACAAAGAAAAAGTTCAATTCAACAAATCGTCACAGAAGCAAGGAAATAAATCATATGTGAGGATCAGTTACAGATCAGATACAATGAGTAAATATTATCCTGTTTCTTACCAGGGCTACAGATGATTTTCTTGGCAGCTTTGATGATTTGTAACATGCTTTCCAGATGCTTTTCAGCAGCACAAGAACAGTGGGTGCAATGAGAGAGCAGCCAATACACAGCAGTGCGACGGGTTTCTGCTCTGCTTGGAGGGTCTTTGTGTCTTCATGGGACAAAGTGATGAGGAGAAGGAAAGAAGCCTGGAAAATAAAAGAAGCCTTTTAAGGACACTGGTACCTTTACTGACTGTTGAGAATTTGTATTTGCCACTTTGAAACTAAATGATGTAAATGTTCTGTTACCTTTTACCAAGGAACCTCTACTTTATTTATACGTTTGGGCAAAGTGGGCTCAAGCCCCTGTAGCTGTTTGTAATATCTCAACCTTCTCTGTCAGCTAATGACTACATTTATATTTACTGTGTCTCAACAATGAAATCAGGAAAAGTGGGATTCTATGTACAACAGAAAAATATTAGAAACTAAAGATTTAAATATTTAAAATGAAGCTAACCTTGCTACATATTGCCAATCCAAACACAATAATGGCAACTGCAAACAAAGCGATGATCTTTAGAAACTTCAACAACTTCCAAGGTGTGTGTTCGTCTTCAATTACAGGAACCTCCCGACAGGTGTCCCACGGCCTCCTGGAATAGATGCATGGGGTTAAATTGCATCATGCAATTTAACATATTATATATATATATATCTATATATATATCTAGATATATATCTATATATATAGATATATATATATATATCTATATATATAGATATATATATATATATATATATATATATATATATAGATATATATATATATAGATATATATATATATATCTATATATATAGATATATATATATAGATATATATATATAGATATATATATATATATATCTATATATAGATATCTATATATATATATATCTATATATAGATATATATATATATATATATATATATATATCTATATATATATATATATTATATATAGATAGATAGATAGATAGATAGATAGATAGATAGATAGATAGATAGATAGATAGATAGATAGATAGATAGATAGATAGATAGATAGATAGATAGATAGATAGATAGATAGATAGATAGATAGATAGAGAGATAGATAGATAGATAGATAGATAGATAGATAGATAGATAGATAGATAGATAGATAGATAGATAGATAGATAGATAGATAGATAGATAGATAGATAGATAGATAGATAGATCTTTGTTAATATGTTAGTTGTCATTGGTTACCACAATTGCAGCATATTTGTAAGCCAGATTAACAAATTACTTACTTGAGGTCTCTGTTTGGCTCCTCCATACCTCCCACCTGTGGATGCTGTTTTCTGTGCTCTGGTGTTTCTCTACATCCATGAACTTTTTTATGCCACCTGTATGACTCATAAGTTACCATAAGCTCCACCTGCAATAAGTGCCTAGAAAATGTGAAACAGGTTTAGCAAGTTCAGGTAAGTGAATTCATAATGAACAATGTGAATTAGGAAAAGATTGCCAAAAGAATAAAAGTGGAAACAGACATTTTTCCACTTGTTAAGGACAGAAAACTGTCCTTTTGCCACAATGTAAAGAAATGTAACCGATAAATCTGTTTTTTTGTCTTTAGAAATAGAGACATATAGATATATTTTCCCCTTTGCTCAAGGAAATAACAGTTTTCAGGAAGTACTATGGTAGTTTTTGCCACTAAAGTAATACATTAAAATTGTGACTATTATTGTATTTTTATTATGTTTTACCAGGTAAGGTGCCATTAAGAGATTGTTTATGTTAATGTACATCCATTCATTATTGGTTATTATGTTTGTTATTAGACAGTATTAGTGTTTCCAGAAGAAAAACTTGAAAAACAAAACCATAGCATAAAATTTTCTGTAGCAATAATTTTGACTGACTAAATCTTCTGCATCAAACTCCTAAGCCAGAGTTGGAGGCAGACTCTAGCTGTATGAGGCCGGATACAACATATGAGGAGAGTCTATATTCATGAAACTCAAAGTTTCATTATGGAGTAATAATTTCACAACCTCACAACTAATATTCCCCTGTATGTAAGGTATTATCAAGGAAAACTAGATAAAGCAGATGTGATTATTGGCCTCTCAGCCAAGAAAAAATAATCTAATGAAATGTATCCAATGAGTTTAATTGTGTACACAAGTCCAGATAAGTTCTTTGCTGAAGCGAGAAGTAGAAATTTAATAAGGACAAACATCTGCAAAAAACTTGTTTAATAAAAAAATTGAAGCTGATTATGAAAGGAGGAAGACATATTTCAAGATGACAACCATAAATGCTTTGCTTTTGGTATTTATTAAATGAAAAAAAAAAACGTCATTATTTGTTCTGGTTATATTCAGTTTGATTGTGTAGTCAGACGCTTTTGTTTTCACTTCTGCAGAAGAATACATTTATTTCCTTGTGCTAAATCTTATTATGTAAGTAATGACTAATTACAAAAATCTTTGTCTTGTTCACTTTATGGAATTGACAAAGCTTTGAGGAAGGGAATAAAAAATATTTCCCTCATCCGTTTGTCATGAGTGTCATTAATAATTGAAGTTCATTGAACATCATTTACCAATTACTACTGGTGGTGTTCAATGAACTTCAAAATCTTTTAAACATATGAATTGGCTGATTCAGAAACTGCAGGATTTTCAGTTTTGTGTCAAAAACAAATTAGCTTCCTGTAAGAATTTATATTTAATTACTTTTTTTTGTCATTTGAAAACTGTTTAAAAATTTATATTTTTTAATGGAACAGAATAAAACAAATGTCCTTTTTTCATGGATGTCATTAGTAATTTGTCTATATGCTGATGGCATAGAAAATACAACTTCAAAGGCTTTTGAACATACCAACTGCTTGATTTCTTTCTGTTTGCTGTGGATTTTATCTCTAGCTTTCTGGGTCACATGTTTGTGCTATGACCAAAATTGTGGCTCTCAAAAATGTATATGTGAAAAATAGACCAAGGAATTGTAAAAACTTTCCCTCATATGTTTCTAAATGCATTTAATACACTTGAACAGAAAAGTTAATACGTCTGTTTAAAGGAAAATATTTTAAAATCTGATAAAATGGTTAAGTGTCCACATCCTGACATCAACCTGCCAAATCATCTTTTCTATTTTTGTCTTCTCTTTGTTAAGAGTTAGGAATTTACTCTTAACTTAGAGAGTTAAATTGTCTTAGATGCTAAAAAAGAATTGCTTTTCATCTTCAGTTTTGTAGCTGGAACCTGAAGGTGCTGGACCAAAACCATTTGATATTATCTACTAAATAGATAAAATCCAGCCATGATGATGAAAAACCCAAGACAAAATTAACAACAAATGTTGTCTTGAGGCACTTTACAAAAAATATTTCAATTTAAAAAAAACATAAATTACAACTAATCCTTTTAATCAAACAGTGCATCAGCTTCTGTTCATTATTCAAATTACACTGTTCACAAAATTAAAGGGACCACTAAAATCACATCATATATTTATTAAATATTGTCATTGAAAAACTTTACTATTAATAAGGTGGAATTGTTGAGAACAAAAGCATAAAAATGATCAATGTAAATAAAAATTATTACACTGTGGAGATTGGATTTGGATTCATACTCAATATAAAAGTGGAAATAACGCAACAGGCTGATTCAACATCAGTGAATATAACTTAAAACAAATCTACATGAGGCTCAGTATGTGTGTGAGACCTCCATCTCTGAATAATCTCCCAACAACGCCTGGGCATCTCCTGGTGAGACAGCAGATGTTCTCCTGAGGGATCACTTCACAGACCTGGATTAGAGCAGTTAGATGCTGAACAGTCTGTGGGGCGACGTGGCATTGTTGGATTGACTGAAACATGATGTCTTAGATGTCAATTGGATTCAGGTCTGGGGAACAGGCAGGCCGTGCCCTCATCATGGAGGAACTGCTGAAACACTTCAGCCACATGAGGCCGAGCATTGTCATAAATAAGAAGAAATCCAGGGCACACTGGACCAGCATATGGTCTTATAATGCATCTGATTACCTCATCTTGGTACATTGTGGCAGTCAGGGCACCTCTGGCCAGCACAAGAGGGATGGTGTGGCCATCCAAACATGTCTGACCCAACCGGCACTCACTGAGTGTCTGTAATCAGAATCAGACACGCTGGAGGAAGTTGCAGGCAGCATAATGTTCTTCACTGTGTCTCCAGACTCTGCTACATCTGTTACATATGCTCAGTGTGAATCTGCTTTCATCTGTGAAAAGCTCAAGATGCCAAAGATGAATCTGCCCATTTTGGTTTTCTCTAGCAAACGCCAATCGTCTGACACGATGTTGGGCTGACAGCACAAAAACTATATGTATATGTCACTGACTTCCAGGATTCACTCCTTCTGGACAAGCATGTAGCAAAAGTGGACAAGCCTTTGTGTTGTTTTATAGACTTTACAACAATCCCCTGTAAAGAGCATGCATGACAGTGGGGAGGAAAAATTCTCCTTAACAGGAAGAGATTAGTGTTGTAGTACCAGAGACCGGTCTTGGTCTTGAGATTACTTTTTGATGGTCTTGGTGTCAGGTGCTGAGGACTCGGGATTTTATTTCAAGACCGGTCAATATCACAATATTTCTTCAACTGTGGAAATATCACTAAATTGTCGGCGTATTGTCCATTTTATTTGTTAACATCTTAGTTTTCACTGGATGCAAAGCCTTTCGACTAAAATCCAAGCAATAACGTGACAAACTAATTATGTGTTTCAGTTACCGCTGTCACAAATCGCCTCTCCCCTTTTACTCTCATGCGTAACTCCAATGCGTGGGTCTTTTCTAAGCGGCAGACGTAAGTCTAATCGTCATTAATACATATTTTAATTATACATATTGATATTTATTTAATTAGTGAATAAATAAAACACAAGAACAGAAGAGCACACACAGAGTTTGCTCATTGCTCTTTGTTTTCGTTACCTGTCACAGTGTCAGACATTACAGCTCTGCGCTGCCTGCAGCAGGACAGAGGGTGAGAACAGTCATGGTCTTGTGTTTGGTTATTTCTTGCTTGTTGCGCATTGTGTTCATAGATGAGCATTGTTCACGGTTGGGGCATTGTGTTAATTGTTATGTTTAATGGTGCAGACAGTTGTTTTTTCTGATATGAGTGATATGAGCAAACACCCAGGGCGTTATCTTTTTAGGGATGGTACAAGACAAGAGATGGAAGCAAGGCAGAATGAAGAAGAGTTTGAATTGATAATAATATTGTTTACATTTATTTCAGCTCTAATCATTAAATATTTAGGTGTTTTCACAGGAATATGAATCTTTCAGATCAATGTAAGAAGCAATTTTGGTCATATTTCACATTTCATTGGGTCATGCAGCATGGGCACTGGTCTTGGTCTTCACTTGGTCTCGGGTTATAACACTAGAAGAGAACTCCAGCCGATCATGTTTCAGAATGATGGACCATCTGCCATGCGACTGGGGGATTGCAAAGTCAGAGCAGGTCCACAAGAAAGGATCAGAAGAAATCTTCCTTCTTAGCAGCACTTTCTGAGTTAAAGAAAAATAAAAAGTTGATAGGAGAGGGCGGAAATGTAGTTGTTGGCTGCATTATCTCAGTTGATGCCCTCCAACAGGAAGGTATCACATGCAAACAGAATGCCAGACCAGGTGTAGCTTATTTAGAGAGAAAAATAACTGAGAAAACAAAGTTAGCAGCTGAGATAGTAACAAATAATCCAAACTGGAGAGTAGTAGAATAATTATGTGAGAAAAGGGGCTCAGTTTGTACTTATGCTACAGAAGCAACTACAGAGATGACTCGGTAGGATACAGAATAGCTCTATAGAATTAGATGAGATAAACCAGGCAGAAACGTCTTTCTGGACTGAAATTCACTGGAACGGTGATTCATGGGCATTCTTTCTCCAGGCATTCTCTTTTAATTGGAAAAGAAGATAAAACAAAATAACCAAGCCTCTATAATTGTCACGAGTAAAGCTGTTTTCTCAGAGTAATACTAAAATGCGTCGTCATAATGAGGAGGGGCAGCAGCTTTTGAAGAAGCACCACACCTTCATAAAAATCTATTACAAGTCAGCTTCGGTGTGGATTTTAGGCATAGACTGCCCATTAAAATAAAAGACACGTGACGTAAAAGGAAAGAAATTTGCATATTAACAACAGGTTTTGATTTTCCCCTCAAAATTTTATCTTTTTTCACTTCCTTTTCTTTAAATCAAAAATAAAAATCCACATGTTTAGATTTGCTTTTGAGCCAAAATAAATACACACTGGCCAACATATTTGACAGGTATGATTTTG